ACTAGAACAACACATGTTATGATAGTATAGAATAGCATTATTTTATGTTATATTTTTCTCTATTTGTTTAGCATTTTAAGTCACTTTGGAGAACATTGAGCTGATATTTGGAGAAATTTGCTGTTATTCCTTCATTGGGTGGTATAGAGCTCATTATCTTATAAACTTAGTTCATACTATTTTTCTCTAAGTTCATCATCACCTACTGAATTTTATGAGGTGCTTTTGGCCTGTTCAGGCAGCCTTGAGCCATTATTTATCAGTTTGTTTTTGTTAGCTTAACATTTCAATACCTGGGAGAGCTAAATACCATACAAATTTGAAGATTTTTTTGTATACTCTCTTTTCTGTATAATTTATTAAAATGCCAGTGGTTGCTCAATGGGTATAAAGTTTCAATTATGCAAGATAAACAAATTCTATAGTTCTGCCATACAACATAGCGTCTACAATATAGTTAACAGTGCAGTATTGTTCACCTTAAAATATATTAAGTGGATAGACTTCATGTTAAGTGCTTTTACTACAAAACACACAAACACACACACACAAAGAACACAAATTTTGAGGAGTGATAGATATGTTTACTACTTTGTGGTTACAGTATCATGGTGTATGCATTATTTAAACTTATTAAAATGCATGCATTAAAGATGTGTAATTTTTGTATATCAATTTTACATCAATAAGACTTTTTTAGGGGAAGTTGTCCATGGCCTGAAAATCTTCTTACTTATGGACAAGAATTTTTTTGTATTTATCAAAAGATTTCTACACTTTGATCACTTTCATTACATTCTCATGTAAAAATATTCACATAGTGACAGTCCAAGTACTCATTCGCCAAAAAAGTCCATGGTACAAACTTCAATACAGGCCCGTGGGAGTTGTTTAACGTGCTCCAGTAGTAGTAGCACAGCAAAACATGTATAACAAGAGCTTGCTTCAATGACACAGAAACTTGGGTTTATCCCAATTCCTGAATTTGAATAAGTGAGTAACCTTTCTAAACCACCACTTTCTCATAAGGTTATTGTGAGGATTAATTTTAAGAATATAGGCTAGTTAACATAATGAAAGGCACAAACTACATGCTCAATTAATGTTTTCAGAGCTAGTGGTGGTGATTCAATCAATTTGTCTACTTGTTGTAAGAGCAGCTAATCTCAAGAAACTATTGCTCTGTATAACAAGAACAAGTTTCGGTGTTCAATAAAAAGCAGCTCTACAATCTTTCCTGGGAAGCAAGCACCTTATTGGTCATTCTATTGAGGTCTCCAGTTCTCTTGTCCAGATCCAGAGAGTGCCATTTACACTCTTACACCATAATATCTAGAAATACTGTTCCCTAGAGTTGTACGACATGCGGCCTGTGTGTAGGAGCTCTGTTTAAGCTTTTTTTTTTTTTTTTTTTAAGATGTGAGGTACAATTCAGGGTTAGGTATATAAACGTTGATTATGCAGGTACACTTGATGAGGTGTGCCCCTCCCTCCCCTGGCAGTTTCCCTCAACTGCCAATCCCACCCCTTCCCCTGGCAGTTTCCCACTACTGCCAATCCCTTTCTTTTTTTTTTTTTTTTTTTTGAGTTGGAGTCTCACTCTGTCGCCCAGACTGGAGTGCAGTGGCCGCTCCCAGCCACCGCCGCCTCGACCTGTTGGGCTCTGGCGATCCCTCCGCCTCAGCCTTCCAAGTAGCTGGAATTACAGGCGCCTGCTACCACACCGGCTAATTTTTTTGATTTATTGTAGAGATGTAGCCCAGGCGAGTCTCGAACCCGCGGGCTCAGGCAATTCACTCACCTCGGTCTCCCAAAGTGCGGGATTACAGGCTGAGCCACCGAGCCCGGCTGCCAATCCCTTTCTTATAGAATTATAATAATTGTTCAAGGTCCGCTTATGAGTGAGAATATATGGTACTCTGTTCTTTGTTTCTGTGATAGATCACTGAGTATGAGAGACCCTAAATCCATCCAAGTTGCTGCGAATTCCATATGTTTGTCCTTTTTTATGGTTGCATAATATTCCATTGTGTATATGTACCACATTTTTTATCCAGTCCAGCTTCAATGGGCAGCATGATTTGTTACATGTTTTTGCTATTGTAGGTAGAGCTGTAACAAACATACGTGTGCAGGTATCTTTTTTGTAGAATGATTTAAGTTCCTCCGGGTATATTCCCAATTATATCAATTGTACATCAATTGTATATCAATTGTACATTTTGTTAATTGTATATCAGTTGTATATCAATTTTATATCAATTATATATCAATAAGCCTTTTAAAAAAATCTGACCTCCACTTTTTAATTTTCCCCTTCTTAATGTTCTCTGTCTAAAGTAGAATCTCTTTGTGGCTTTGCTCATGGTATCCTTAATCTCTATATAAGGCTGCAAAAACATTAACAATTATTTGGGGACCACAACTTTCAACTGATGAACTACTATTGTAACATTTTTCTTGCTACAAAATTTTTACTTTTTCTTACCAAATAATTTCCATTTGTTGTCTTCTGTGACAATGCTTCTTCACTCTTACAATGGAATGCAGGAACAAAATAAACTAGCTTTCTCACCAGCTTTAATGTCTTCTATTCTGTAAAGTGTGGCAAACCTGTAATTTTATTCTGGATCTTAAGTTATAGCATGGAATCAAGTAGAAGATGCTATTATTAAGACATAGTAGAGACTGACTATGATCCAAATACTTTGAAGTTACCAATTTAAATTTTAACAACAAAAAGCTATCAAATTGGCTCATTTTTCTATATTCACTATATGCAATACAACATAGTGTCCTTGAAAACAGTTCTAATTTCAGGTTTGTCTTCCAGTGTTACTGTATTTGTTAGATGGTTTCACAGTGGTAAATTTGACTCATTGGATATAATATATTCCACTTTCAGAATTATATTAAATTTTGACATTAGAACAAATGTAGATATATGCAGCTGTGTATTCAAGTCACTTCTAGCTTTTGCTAGAAGTTCAAATAGATTTGAATTTTCTTTCCTCAGAGTGATTTATGAGATTCCTGCCAGTTTGTTGATTTTCTGAACACTCTTTATCTCTTTGTGCTTACTTTTTTTGAAACTCATTGTTTCCCTGCAAGTGTATGAATAATAAAAGGTTAGATGAAGCTTAAGCTAGTCAATTTTGGTTCTTTTTAAGAAGCCCTAATAAGATATTTACTTTATTTTTAAAATTTACTCAGTTTGAAGGAGTAGGGTCGTAAAGGTGATTAGAGGAACTGTATTAGGGAACAAGTGTTGACTGAACTTAGAAATTAGGGTTACAATAGTCCCCACTTTTGCACAGGAAATATGTTCCAGGATCAGCAGTGAATGCCTGAACCTGTGGATAACACTGAACCTTATACATACCACGTTTCTCCATTTGATAACAAAGATGGCTACTACGTGACTATTGGAGAGGTAGTGTACACAGCATGAATATCTTGGACAAAGGAATGATTAGATAGGACAGCATAAGATTTTATCACGGTACTCAGAACAGTGTACAGTTTAAAACTTATAAGTTGTTTATTTCTGGAATTTTCCATTTAATATTTTCAGACTACGAGTGACTGAAACCGTGGATAATGAAACTGTGGATATGGAGGAATTGCTGTATTTGTAGAATTTAATGTACTTCGGTGTTGTAAATAATTTGGAGTTTGTCTATTGCCTTTCAAGTTTACCACTAGTGGAATATTGGAATTTTTTTCATTTTTAAAATTTTGGTATATATTTTGTCATTCATAAATAACAAGAATTGTATTAGTTTATTCAAAGCTTTGCTGTATATGTATCTAAGTTGGAATCAATTTAATTTAAAATTTAATTGTATACCCATTTTGTTCTTCAAATGAGCTAAATATCTGGTTTATAGTGTTCAGAAAAAATACATACATTCCTAGTCTAAGATTCTTATTTTTTTTAAGTAATAAGATGTAAGGAGAAAAGGCATCAGTTTAAAAGGCTATTACCATAATGCAGAAACACAAGAGTCACAGATAGGTCTTATTCACCCAGACAACTGTGTCTACTAAGTGAGTAATGAGGCATTCAGTAAGTGATGTTGAACACTAGCACTTTGGTGAAGAGATCACAATCCTCATGAGCAGAGCAGAGAGCACTGTGGTAGAGAATTAGAGTTAGGGTATATGTTGTCATTGTTACGGGGAAAAAACTTGCTTTAATTGTGAGAGTGGATATGCATTCTTCTAAGGCTCTGTTAGAAGAAAGGATAATGCACATATTCATTGAGCAAAAACAGTTATATGTTATGTGAATTGTCTCTGACCCAAAAGAAACTCAATGTAATTGAAAAGTTAAGACTTTCATATGTGAAACCATTGCAGACATGACAGAATAACAACCTACCCTAAGCTCTTATGGTAAGTTCTCTTTGTCCAGGAATGCTTAATGTAAGAAGTAGGACTTTAAATGTCCACTGAAGAATTGATAGACTTCCTCATGTTATGATGAAATTCACCTTTGAAGTAGAACATACTATAGCTTTTGGTTGACATGCTTCTTGTAAGCGATGAGTTGCATTGTGGCACAGTAGGAATGATAATCACAGATTCTGATGTCAAATTGTTTGAATCCAAATCGAGATTCCACCACTTACTAACTGTATCACTATAACATGGGGATAATAATAGTATCTTTCTAATAAGGCTGTTAAGGTTTAAAGAGAATAATGCATCTACATGCTGTGGGAGTAGTATGAGTTCTGTGGTCGGATAGATTGGTTCAAATCCCAATTCTGCCACTTATTAAAGACCGTAGGCATTTGGCTTCTCAAGATTCAGTTTTCTCATTTGTAAATGAAGATAATAAAGCATAACTCACAGGGTTGTTGTGATGTTTAAATGAAGCAATTTTTGTAAAGCACCTAGCAGAGTGCCTGCCATATAATAAAAGCTCTGTAAATAATGTTATGTTCTTATACAATCTAAGTCATGTAGAGACTTCAGTTTTCTTTGTATTTCAGGGTGAACCCGGTCTGCCTGGATACCCAGGGAACCCTGGTATCAAAGGTTCTGTAGGAGATACTGGTTTGCCTGGATTACCAGGAAGCCCTGGAGCAAAAGGACAACCAGGCCTTCCTGGATTCCCAGGTAATATTCTTTTTCTTAAATACTTCCTTCTTTTCTTCCTTATTTACTCTTACCAGTATCACAGAGCAAGTTCTTATTTGGTAGACTTGCATTGTTTCTCAACTGGTTGCTGACTAGTAACATAATCTCTATCTCTTTTCCTTTTCTTTGCCCAAATTTCTTTCTGTGTAAAATGAGAATGAGTATTACTTACCCAGCAGGACAATATCCTGTGGGCAGAGAGACTGTTTGGTGAAGCATTTTTCAATCTTTGACTGCTAGCCACAAATCAATTCAGAACCCTTACTATTTTTGTAGGTGATAACATACACTTTCAAGCCCTAGACTTCTGCTGATTTCTCTTAGAAAGTTGTACACATGCACACAGCTGGTGGCTGTTGGTGGAACAATCATGCAGTTCATTCAAATGGCAAGAACTGAGTCATTCAAGCAAAAGATTTTAGCACTACAGTCAAGTCGGTAGCCTGAACTAGATTATTATAGTATCTGCTTGTTTGTGCTTGTATGTTTTTGTTTCTTTTTTTGAATTACACAGTGGCACAGATGAATAGGTCTTTGATTATTTCTTTCTTAACCTTTCTGCTGAAGTGCAGCATACATATGGTAAAGTATACTTAAGTGTACAAGACACTAAATGGGTTTTTACCCATGTTTATATCTTTAAATATATATATGTAACAATATAAAATAATTTTATTCCATAAAGTTTACTCATGCCTCTTCAAAGGGACCCCTCCTCTATCCCACTCCGAGGTAACCACTACTGTCACATCTATCACTATCAGTTAATTTTGCCTGTTATTGAAATTCATGTAAATGGAATCATATAAATGGGTCCTTGTGTCTGACTTTTCTTATATACATCATCATGTCTTTAAAATTCATTTATTTTGTTTCACATATCAGTAGTTTGTTCTTTATCATTGCTGTGTAATATTCCATTGAAGAAATGTACCTACAATCAATTACCTATTCTCCTGTTAATGGACTTTTGGATTATTACCAGTTAGAGACTATTATGAAAAAATATACTACTTAACATGTCTTTTGGTAGGCATACCATTGATATGTCTTATGTAAAAACTTGGAAGTAGAAACACTGAATCATGGGGTAGGTGTACATTTAAGTTTAGCAGATGGCACCAAACAGTTTTACAAAGTGGTTTATAAATTACAGTCTCAAAAGCAATGGATTAAACATCTGTTTGTCCAGTTGTCCACTTCCTGACCATCACTGGGTAGTGTCGGTCTTTCTAATTTTATCTATTCTGGTGAGTATGTAGAAGCATCTTACAGAGATTTTAATTTACATTTTCCTAATGACCAAAAACATTAGCCGCCTTTACATATACGATTGGTATTTGGATAGCATTTTTTAAAGTGTCTTCTCAATTTTTTTGTTTATTTTTAATTGATTTGTTTGAGGTCAGGTATGTTGGCTCATGCCTGTAATCTCAGCATTTTGGGAGGCCAAAGTGAGAGGGTTGCCTGAGCCTGCAAGTTCGAGACCAACTTGGGCAACATGGCGAGACCTCATCTCTACAATAAATTAAAAAACTAACTGGGTGTGGTGGTGCCTGCCTGTAATTCCAGCTACTTGGAAGGCTGAAGCAGAAGGATCACCTGAGCTTAGCAGGTTGAGGCTGCGGTGGCTGTGAGCATGCCACTGCACTCCAGCCTGGGTGACAGAGTGAGACTCTGATTTTTTTTTAAAAAGTGATTTGTTTGCTTCTTTTCTTTTTTCTTATTTTATTTTATTTTGTTATAGAGATGTGGGGTACAAATAAGGACTAACAACACAAGTAGGCTGCATGGAGGTGAAGTTTGGGCCTCCAACTGGCTTCTACTTCCCCTGATTTAGGACCAGGAACCTTTTGTGTTGTTACATGCCCCTCCTTCCTCCCTTCCTCCTCTGGCAGTGCCCAGTGACTGCTGCTCTCTCTTGTGCTAATGTGACTAGTGTTCAGTGCCCTCTTAAGTGTGAGAACATGTGGTACTCAGTTCTCTGTTTCTGTGATAGATCACTAAGTATGATGTTCTCCAACCCCATCCAGTTTGCTTGCTACCTGTGATCCCAGCACTTTGTGAGGCCATGATTTTGTTCTTTATGGTTGTGTAATACTCCATTGTGTATATGTTCTACATTTTCTTTATCCAGTTCACTTTTGATGGGCAGTGGGGTTGGTTCCATGTTTTTGCTATTGTGAATAGTTGTTTGTCCATTTTCTTATTGATTCAGAGCAGTTCACTATATACTCTAGATATGAGTCCTTTGTCAGATACATGTATTGAAAATACGTTTTCCCTGTCTCAGATTTGCCTTTCACTCTCTTAATGCTGACATGTAATGAACAAAAGCTGTTCATTTTAATGAAATCCAGTGGATCAATTTTTTATGGTTAATGCTTTTTGTTACCTTATTTAATACGTATTTGCCTACTTGAGATTATGGAAATATTTTCTTATTTTTTTATAACCTTTTTAATGTTTAAACTTTCATATTTGGGTTTATGATCTGTCTCAAATAGAAACATTTTTATAGCATGAGTTAGGGATCAAGGTTCATTTATTTTCCCACAGAGTTATCCAGTTGCTCTCCACATTTTTTCTTTTTAAAGAACCTAAATTTAGCCAATAAGTTGCAGTCACTCTTTTGTCAGAAAACAGAATGACCATATACATGGAGATCTGTTTCTATATTCTGTATTCTATTCCATTAGCTTTTCTAGTCTTACTTTAACACAACACTGAATTACTATGCATTTTTATTAAGCCTTGAAATCTGGTAGTGTAAGTACTGCAACTTTGAGTCTTTCTTGAAGTTTGGCTTGGTTATTCTAAGTCTTTTGCATAAATTTGGAAACCAGTTTATCAATTTCCACTTTTAAAAAACCTGCAAAGACTTTGATTAGGATTTCAATAGATTGCTAGGTAACTTTGAGAACCGATGTTTTAACTATACTCAATCTTTCAATTCAATGAACATGCTATCTCTTCATTTATTTAGGTATTTAATTTAATTCCACAATATGCTGCACTTCTCATTTTATAAATCTGGAACATATTTTGTTAGATTTATCCTTGGAAATTTGATGCTTTCTGGTGGTATTTTAAGTGGTATAGCTTTTCCCAGTTTATTTTCCAGTTGTGTGTTGGAAGTATATAAAAATAATTGATTTTGGAATATTGAATTTATATGTTAAAAATATTGTTGATCTTACTTATTAAATCTAAACTTTTACAGTTTTTTGTTTTATAAACTAAAATATCACCTCAGATATTTATATATCTTTTTAATTCTTTATACCGTTTATTTCTTTTTCGTAGCTTTCTACACTGCCTAGGGCCTCTAGTACATTATTTAATAGAAGCAGTTGGGCAACCCCTTTGGGTCCCCTCCCACTGTAGGAGCTTTTCTGTCCTCTCAATAAATCCTGCTTTCTTAAAAAAAAAAATGGTTACAGTTGACATCCTTATCGTTTTCCTAAACCCAGAGGAAAGTTCATTGTTTTTCAGTTAAGTGCAATGTTGGTGCCAGGATTTTGGACATATATTTTATTAAATTAAAGAAATTTCTTTCTATTCCTAATCCACTGAGAGTTTGTTTGTTTGTTTGTTATCAAGAATGAGTGTGAGTTGCATCAAATTCCTTTTCTGAAACTACAGAGGTGATCATGGTTTTTTCTCCTTTATTTTGTTAACATAGTGAATTACACTGGTTGATATTTTATGTCAGAATAACCTTGCATTCTTGAGATAAAACTCCAAGATGATCATGCTATATATTATTATTTTTAAATATTTCTGAACTTGATTTGCTATTTTTTTAAGTTGTCTGTGAATCGTATCAGTCTATGATTTCACTGAAGTTGTCAAATTTATTGAAAGAAAGTTGTCGATAATATCCTTGTTTTGTCCTTTAAATTTCTGCACAATATATAGTGAAGTCTGCATTTTAAAATGTTTTGATAGAAGTCATTTTGGTTTGATTCTTTATTTTAATTGATCTTGCTAGACATTCATCAAATTTTATTAATTGTTAAAGATTAACTTTTGCACATGATTTTCTCTACTGTTTGTTTTCTATTTAATTGCTTTCTGCCTCTATCTTTACTATTTCCTACATTCACTCTCTGAATTTAATCTTGTTATTTTTCTGGCTTCTTTAGTTAGATGCTTGCAATCACAGATTTTTCAGCTTTTTCTTCCTAATAAACTTTAAATTTCCATATAAGTGCCTAAGCCAAATCCTACATATTTTGTTCTTTTGTGCTTTTTTTTTAGCATTCAGTTTAAAATATTTTCTAATTTTTCTTTTGATTTCTGTATTTATCCCTAGGTTATTTAGAATTGTAAATTGTTACCCACTTTGCAAATATTTGGGGACTTTCTAGATAGCTTTTTGTTATTAACTTTTAATGTAATTCTATTGTGCTCATAATACATACTTTGTACAATTTTTTAGTACATATTGACACTTATCAGATGGCTTAATTTATGGTTTAACTTGATTAATTTTCTTTGTACCTTTGAAAATAGTTCATACCATGTAATTTTGTGAATTGTTTTAGAAATTCCCATTAGATCAAGTTGGTTGGTAGTGTTGTTAAAATCTTGTGTGTCCCGAGCCAGTGCTCAGTGGCTCAGCCTGTAATCCCAGCGCTTTGGGAGGCTGAGGTGAGTGAATTGCCTGAGCCTGCGGTTCAAGGCCCGCCTGGGCAACTTGCCGAGACCTCATCTCTACAATAAATCAAAAATTAGCCAGGCGTGGTAGCACACGCCTGTAATTCCAGCTACCTGGAAGGCTGTGGTGGAAGGATTGCCAGAACCCAGCAGGTTGAGGCTGCGGTGGCCGGGAGCGGCCACTGCACTTCAGTCTGGGTGACAGAGTGAGACTCCAACTCGAAAAAAAAAAAAAAAAAATCTTGTGTGTCCTTATCAACTTTTTGTCTAATTGTTCATACTGAGAGACTAGTGTTAAAAATTTCCCAATGTGATTG